AGGTCAGAAGTATGATGTGTTGATAAACTCACTTCGGCAAGAAATGCGGGGGCTGAGCGACGCGAGAGCTCGTGATGCAGCAGAGATTAAGCTGCTGCAGACACAGGTGGAGACATTGAGGAAGGGAGCGGACTTGGATCGGGGAGGAAAAACAGGAAATGGAAATGGTAATGATGTGGAAGCCATAAAGAATCAGTTATGGGTTGTGGACAGTGAAATTCTGTCACTGAAATCACACATAGGAGGCGGAGAAAGAGTGGTGAACAAGAAGAGAGTCAGTGGTTCTTTGAGTGGCAATTCCACAGCACGCAATGGTAATGGTGCTGCAGAGGCGGGTCAAGAGATGGAGGCGATGATCGACAAGCTCCGGGGGCAATTCACACAATTACGTCAGGATTTGTTAGCCAATTTTGACGAGAAAGCGAAAGCCATGAGACGGATAGAAGCCGAAAACCAGTTGCTCAAGTCTGGCAAACCTGTGATAGTTCAGGAATCGAGCAATGCGGAGTTGGAAAAAGAGTTGGACATGCTGAGGGAGGAGGCATCAAATCATGCCAAGGAGAGGCAAGCATTGATAACCATTCTTGATATGAAAATCCGTGCATTGGTTGATGGCATCGGCCGCTCCACTGCTGAGCTGGCACCAGAGTTGCTCAAGAACCCCAAGTTTGCCCGAGAATTCCATGCTCTTGAGAAGCTTGTAGCGGCCACGGTCACAGCCATGCAGGCCGATGACGATGGCAAGGAGGAGGATGGGAAGTCATGACCAGTGGTTCAGCACCAGAACTCTCCATCTGCGTCTACGTCCCATTGATATCCCCTCCAGTACCAGCCGCAACGAAGTTTCTCCACCCCAGCCTGCCACAGGGAATTCCAAACAATGTCATGCCGTGTTCCTCATCATATGACTGTACCAGCATTTTGTGAACAGTAGGTAGTTCAAAGCTTGGGACAGAGATGTCTCAGACACTGAGAGGATGTCCCAATTGTGGTACCACCTGCCTTATTTAGATCCAGCACCCATGCTGACTTCTGAAGTGAGCAAGGTGGCAAGAGTGAATCATCCATGGCTCAGACACTGACAGGATGTCCCAGTTTTGGGACTACCTACCTCAGGTAGATCCGGCACCCATGCTGACTTTTGAGGTGAGCAAGGTGGCAAGGGTGAATCTTCCTCTCTCCCTCTCTCTCCCCTTTTCTTTTCAGATTTAAGTTCTGTTTTACCATGGGTGTGCGGCCCTATGCAAAGTTCGTAGGCTATGGTGGTTGTGTTCAGATGTTTTTGTCTTCTTCTGTAGCATAAGCAGTATCCGTGAGTCAGAGACACTGTGGGAACAAAATGGGCCGTCTTCAGGCGCTTGTGACTTGACATGTGGCTTGGTTCTTTACTTTTTGTTTTCTTTTTTTCCCTCTTCTTTTTAATTGCTGTTGTGGGAATATGACAGTACAACATCCTCAGTTTGTGTAAACTCAAACACTTCCACTTCCACTACCACTACCACTACCACTACCACTACCACTACCACTACCACTACCACTACCACTGCCCACTACAATTACCTCTAACACTAACACTGCCACTAGCACTACCAGTTCCGCTAACACTACCACGATCGCACACATACACACACATGCACACATACCCACACTTCCACACACACACAATTCTTTTTTGTGGTTGGATGTCTCTTTGTTTCGTTTATTATACATGGCCTAATTCTTTGCCCCGCTTTAGAGCATGGGTGTTTTTTTTAAGGAATGTCTGCGGGTGGCCACAAGTTTTTTGGTGTGGGAATGTATGCTTGGAGTTCTGGCCACAGTGTCTTTGCGAGGAGGCTCACAGAGTGTTTGATGTGGGTGTCATTCCCATGGGCTGCTCTTGAGGAGCTCATGGAAGAAACGGGGACTTCCAGCGTGTTTTAAACAGTACTGCTCCTGGTGTCACGTGAAGATCTTGTTGACTTTGGGATTATGGTACTCTATACACTCCAGAGGCTAGACAGCAGATGGGGGATGTCTAGCCATGGAGTGACAGAGATGGTGGTGACATGAGTGGGTCGTTTGGGAGGAATAGCAGTGCCAGTGCTGATGTGCTTGTGGGCCGACTCAGAGGGCTCTCCAATTTTTTGACAGAGTATTGGTGCTTTCTTGCTGGAAAGCAGAACACAGTATATTAATGCATCCTTTTCATATGCTAGGTGTAGCTGGTGTTTTTGGCGGCTCTTTATTTAGTGCTATGCATGGTTCTTTAGTAACTTCTAGTTTAATCCGTGAAACTACCTCTAAGCCTTCTGTGTTAGGTATGTTGTGTTTTGATCTTCGCCCTTTTTATAGATTGAAAAAGCTATATATCGCCAAACAGAGCTGCCCGGTAAACCGTAGGCAGAGATAGGGAGGGAGAAGAGGACAACAAATGAGGGGCTGTGGCAAACTGTTTCGTCGGAGTTTCACCGACTCATCATCCTTGGGGATGCGTTCGGGCCGAACGGGGACCCAAAAA